GATTTGTATATTTAAGGTTTCACTCATATATTTAAAAATGTATATTTAAGGTTTCACTCCCATATTATATAAATGTATATTTAAGGTTTCACTCCCATATTATATAAATGTATATTTAAGGTTTCACTCCCATATTATATAAATGTATATTTAAGGTTTCGCTCCCATATTATATAAATGAATGTAAAAGGTTTCAGTAGTCACCTCCTTGTAGTTGGAGAATTTAAAATGTTCACCGTGGGGGACATAAAAACAAGAACAAATGGAAAATAAAGGCTGTGTCTATTTCAGTACCGAAGTCCCAGTTCTACTAGCTCGATACTGATGTAAATTTCGTTGACAGTAATTACAGAAGTGTATGTGTTAATTGAAGTTTATTTCAAAGTTTAGATATCTTAATTAATCATGTTTTTCAAAGATAGAATTCTATGTTTCGAACATTAATCTTTGTTTTATACGAGTTTTATGAACGTACACGTGAGCATGTTACACTTCCGTCTTTGTACATAAACTCATTCAGACTTTTGCTGATTTTGCAAAACAGTTTTCTTGTATAACACAGTCCATATTTAGACTGATTACCAGTCAACATTAATTAGGACTTTTGTTAGACATCATCGAGCCCACTGAGGCGCTACTGTAACTTAGCTTGCTGTTGAGAATGAGTTAGTTAATTTACTACTGACACGTTTTAGTTAAATATGTTAACAAAGAAATCTCTAGACGTACAAAATTCTTAGTTATTCGGAGGGTTGAGAACGTTATACTAAAACGAATTTGAATATGCAAATCAGCAAGACACGTAACAATCACAACCGAAATAAAGTCACAGAGGAACGGCTTGTATTACAACTACATTTTGACATTGTTTGGCATCACGTAATTAGGGTAATGCAAGTCACAGAGGAACGGCATGTATCACAACTACATTTTGACATTGTTTAGCCTCACGTAATTAGTGACCTTTCAGAAAGGGTGAGGAACAACCATTTCCAATGCAAATCATTAAACATTCATACACTCATATCATAAAGATATATTCATATCTGGTATTTACATTTGCCAAGACGAGAAAAACAAAGGAATATAGATCAACTTGGCGCACCAGTACCATCCAGAAAAAGACGTGGAACAAGTTGTACCCCATCCATGGTAAACAAAGAGCGGCGTCTTCTAACAAATGAGAACCCCGAACACAAAGCACTGTAGTAAAAGCCGTCGACATGTCGTTGGCAAAGTATGCATCATAACCAAGAAGGATCTCCTTAAGGAAAAAACACAAAAGTTCCTTCCATGACATATCCCTTAATCATCAATTACCTCAAGCAGCTGGAGAATGAAACGGGTATTCATGTTATTCAATACGAAGACATACTGGTCCAGTCTCCTATGAATTTATGTATGATCAGAATGTCGAAATGGACGTTGAGAAACCATGACAAGCTTTACAGGGAAGCCTGTTACAATCGACACTATGGTGCGGGGTTATTGTCAAGATGCGTAGTCGTCAGATAGAGTATGACTGGACGCCGTGACGTGAACTGTAGTTCTCGTTTGATTGCTTAGTTTAAATAACAATGGACGGAAATTTTAAAATAAATTAAAAACAAACGGATTTTATTTCCTTCATATTTATTGTTATCAGCGTGTTATAGACCAATAGAAATATGTTTAAGAGTCAGATTTTTTAAATATGTCAATATGAGAATAAGAAAAGAGAATGGTTAAACTTCTATTAATTATTTCAAATATTCATGTGCTACGTCAAGTCTTTAAAGTTAACGTACATAACAACATTTCTTTCATATTCTGCAAGATTCAAGTTTTGTTATCATGACGTCATTGTTCCAGTTATAACTTTCTAGTTAAGAAGAATAAAGTGAACACTAAACTGATGTAAAGAATAAGTAATAGTTAACTTGATGGACAAGATTATATTTACTGATAATTAATTTATTAATGTGTGATAATTACCATGTAATATTTACCACCATATGCGTGACTTGTGTGTTAATCACCAAATAAGACTTGCTACCATATATGTGTTTTGTATGTTAATTACCAGGTTCAACTTGTTAGAATATGCGTGTTAGGTAAAACGAAAATAACTAAAAGTGTGGAATTCCAATAGCAACACTCACAAGTCTGGATTTGAATAAAGAAGGCTTCACTCACTCTATTAGAATTATTTGACTTTTTATGTTAGTACATAATGAAAATAGGTTGTAAGTTCTGACGTTTTCCACAAAACGAAATTACAACAGAATAACCGTCGTGAATCTTTGGTTTGATAATAACAGACATGTCGATTAATTTGTTTGTTTCGTGCTAAGCAAAACAAGGGCTAACTGTGGTAACGGTTCCTAAATTTGATCTCATACACTAACTCTTCAATTATCCTCTTTCAAAACAATTCCATTTCGTTATTATACAAGTAAAAAAAACCCGGACTCAGTCTCTAAGAGTGATCCTTTCATTGTCAAAATTAATTAAACGGTGCAGACGTCTGCACCGTTTAATTAATTTTGACAATGAAAGGATCACTCTTAGATATAATTATTGAAGTCTGCACCGTTTAATTAATTTTGACAATGAAAGGATCACTCTCAGATATAATTATTGAATTCAATAATTATATCTAAGAGTGATCCTTTCATTGTCAAAATTAATTAAACTGTGCAGACTTCAATAATTATAATATTGCTCTTTTACTACCTTAATTAAAATACGTAAACTTTCAAAACAAATAAATATATTCGGTATCATACGAAATAGTAAATAAACTAGAATGGATCAAATTTCAAAAATGATTCCTAATTATCAATATATATAAAAGCCAAGTGTCAGTCGGTCAGTCAGTTGGTCACGCTCGATTTCTCCGAATTTCGTGAGTTACACGAGTCCAATTCCACTTTTTCTCCTATAATACTTCCTCTTTTGATTGCCCGTTCCAATTTTAGTTGAATTAATTCGCTCACATAGGCGTAAGTAGCTCCTAAATTTCGGCAGTTTTTCTGCTATGTAAAAGCCTGTTAAGGAAGGAGTTCACAAGACCAGATCAGGCAGGGTGTGTTAAAAGGAAAGCCGGGAAGACTCACGTGAAAAATAAGTCAAAAATTAGTGGAATTATTACGAAAAAGCCTTTGTTGAAACAGACTAAAGATACCAATTATCTGTAGGAAAGAGGACGACTTTTCCTCAGATGAATAAGTGTGTATGTAATCACATGGTATATTTTAATCTTTTATTCAAAGGTACCAACATGTACCATGTTTGCTCAGTTATATGTAGTTGATTCAGGAGTAATATGTAGCATTTACCTTGGAAAGGAACTTTTATATTTCTTATATTTATATCTTTTGTGTATTGCCAGTTTTATACAGAATAATTTTGGTTTCCAGCGGTTTCTCGTCATTTTTGAGTGGTTTTTACGTTAGTTATTCATTATGTCAATTACAAAATGTTCCTGGTTTAATCTATAGTTTGAAATAGATCAGTTAGTATATGTCTATAAACAACTGTATTTAACGTAAATTAAAAACTAATTATTTAATAACTTCTTCGCAGCTTAACGTCATTATTTTTATTCTGCGAGTACCAAATGAGCGAGACGAGATAAGTTTAGAATAATCCAGATGACACAGTAGTATTGTCAGTCGGCTAGTTGGTTTGTAAGGTAACTTTTTGTTTTTGGTACTACATTAAATTTAAAGGTTGATTGTAAAATGTTCGTATGGTAAAGAGAAATTGCAAAAATCACGATAAAAACACATTGTTTTCGACAAGTGGGCCTTTCTTATTCAGGTGTAAAATCCTATCATTCTACCTACGAAAAAGATAGATTTACTTATCGATTTGAGCTTTTCATGTGATATCAATGCAGGCATACATTTTTCAAATCATATCTGGATTTTATATTTTTGGCTATCAAAATAAATAAAAACAAACAGGCTAATGTTTGGAGGTGAATACCTTTTATTTCAACGTGAATTACAGAGTTTTGTCAGAAATGTGCTAAAACTTAAAATCAGTTATGTTTGTTAAAGCCCATCCAATACTGGGAATTAAAGCTAAGTATTCAAGCGCCCCACTTTGGCGCTTTTATTAGTTTATAAAATATTTAAACTCAGTAGATGGTAGCTGTAACTATACAATGTAAACACTAAACATTGTGAAAGTAGCATAATAATAATCTCACAGGAAATGGAGGTTTCTTGAGGTATTGTTATTATTTTCTTTTAAACAGCACTTTAAAAATTGATTAATTTTTATGGAACTCAAAAATTAATAATTAAACTTAAAAATATCGATTTTGGAACTTGAATTTTCACACTAATTAAAATGAAAAGTTACCCTAAAACGTTGGCGATTTATTTTCTCAATTGGAAATTAGACATTTAAATATTTTTCCGTGTTCGCACAACAGATTATATACATCTCAAACTTCAAACAATATTATTCATATTTAGTTTGCCATAAGAGGGATCTGAAATCACAATGGTAAATGTTACGTAAATTTGATTAATAGTAATTATACTACGTGCATTTATGAAAGCAAATCTAAAAAAGGATACTTCTAAATGAAATATTAGAATATGAATGGACAAATTAACTAAAAAAAACGGTTATAATCGATCTACCAGTTAAAGGCTTAGTGCATAAAACATATATTCGAAACTTTTAAATAATTAATAGAAAATAAATGTTTTCAAGTTAAAAACTTAAATTTACTCGTTAAATAAACACTCAATATTTTAAGAAGTCTATGACTTTCGTGCTATTATGGAGTAGCATGAAAACTATTTTTCAAAAAAAAAAAATTCTATAATGTGAAATAGTTTTAATTAGGTGAAATATTAATTTCTCTGGAATGGAAATTAATACAAAAGATTATTTTATAATTTACTAAATGCATCACAAGATGACGCTATGGAGCGTAGAGTGAGAGTGCTTGAACTATTTTTGGGTCCTTTTTCGATCCTTCTCTGAACTCTTCAAGAGACAATTGGTTATCATTGTTCTGAAAAAATAATGATGTAATAATTTAAAAATTAGCTGATATTTCTTAAATATTTGTAATTTATAAAACTTCATTAAAACGTGATATATAAGGTAAAATAATTGTGGTGCATCAGAAATGTCACTTTTTTGAAATCAGTGGAGGGGCAGTGGCAACAGAAATTCCTTCGATGAACCAAACCTTCTTGAACTGATCAATTCCGCTCTCATTTGAGTTTACAGAATGTTTACTGGATAGAAATAGCCCTTAGGGAATACTTTTTTTCCGTTACTGATAAAACTTCTGGGTGAAAGTAAACATCATATCTACTATATACAGTGCTGACGAGGCCTTTCGCCAAATACCAAGATATTATGTAAGAAAAACACGTATTATGGTGTGTGATAGATAAGTTGGTAGAAAAAAATTTTCATCAACATATCAAAATTAGGCTAAAGAATTTTTACCAATATATTTATTTATTTTAACACCATACATTATTATTAATGTTTAATTAACCTGCTCATTAATCTGAAGAACTGGAGAACCAGCATGCTATTATCTTCTTGGTCTTCAAGTGTCCTATTATTTTTGTGCTCAACTGTATAATCAATTCTCTAGAAAATCCGATGTTTTCATGTTTTCGTAAAATGTTGAAAAAGAAGTGAACGCTGAACAATACGATTCTACTTGAGTTTAACTGACACGTCTGGTGATTAAGATTCGTTTCTAGCTTATTCGTTTCAAAATTGATTAAAATGTATACTTTTAATTTGATATATGTATCACCTAATATTTTTTCCTTATAAATATGAATTATTTTATTGTTAATAATAAAAGTGGTCAGCTTGAACAGCGTAAACTTCTCACCTTATCCAATTGTTCAAAGATTTTGTCAACTCTTTCCTTCGGTGTTTCCTCCTCTTCTTCAGCCTTGTCCTTGTTTCCCTGATAATAAATCATTACTTAGACATAATAAGACCTTTAGTTACTTAACGCTATATGAATAATAAATATTACAAACTTAATAGTTTCTAGCTAATGAAACGTTTTAATAGTTTCTAGCTAAGGAAACGTTTTAATAGTTTCTTGCTAAGGAAACGTTTATTGACATGCTGCTAGTAGTTTCTAACTAAGACAACGTTTTAACTTGCTCGTTGTTACGAGTTTCTAGTTGAGAAAAAGCCTTAATTGACAAATGCTTCTAGCTAATACAAAGGTTTATCTGACTTGATCCTCTAGCTTTTAACCAAAACAATGTTTTTACTAGCCCATTGTTACTAGTCTCTAGCTAATACAACGTTTTAACAGGCCCACTTTAGCTGATGCAACATTTTAACTAGCCCACTGTTACTAGTCTTTAGCTAATACAATGTTTTAACTAGCTCATTGTTACTAGTCTGTAACTAATATAACGTTTTAACTAACCCACTGTTACATGTCTGTAGCTAATACAACTTTTTAACTAGCTTACTGCTATTACTCTCTACTCTCTAGCAAATATAAAGTTTTAACTAGTTTACTATCACTAGTTTTTAGCTAATACAACGTCTTAAGTGGTCCACTGTGTGTAGTTTCTTGCTAATACAACAGTACAGATCGCAGGTTAGTAAGCTTATTGTTGCTGGTAGATTACAGGTTAATAATTTCGTTGTTTCTTACCAACATTTGGTAGATGGCGTCAACAATACTGTACATTTCTTCTCTCGTTATACAACCATCGTTGTCAACGTCGTAAAGCTTAAAGGCCCCTAACAAATTAAAAACCAGAATACCTTTTTTATTAAAAATAACTTTAAATGTGCTACTTCTTGCACACAGCATTTGTAGAAAACCCGAGTTAAAATTGTATATACATGCATACACATTTTGAATTGTGTGAATATGTTTTGTTTTGTTTTAGAATGTCCCACTTTCACCACTTTATTTAAAGAAACACTCGGATATTATGAACGTAAAACTAAAATATATGACATTATGATATCAAAGTTTGAACACTTATGTTGATACACACAAACAAAAGGTCTAGAGTGAAAATTACAGTTATCGTTATTCACGTACAAAAGGTCATGCTCAAGGACTAAATCCTTAGACAAAACTTTGTCTTCTAGCTATCCGCAGGATCACATCATCACTGAATTTTAATACTAATCCACGGCTAAAAACACTTATGACTTAATGGCTTTCTTTGGAATGACTAGCTCTATTACAACCATATTATCTTTATGAGTCTCTTTGTTATGATTGATTCTGTTTCAGTAATGATATCTTTACCAGTCTCTGTGTGATGACAAGATCTCTTCTAACAACGTTGTGTTTACTTTTTTTTTGTAATGACTTATTCTATTCCAACAAAAATATACTCTGAGGTCGCTATTTGATAACTAGATTATTTCAACAATATTTTTACTGGTTTCTTTGTGATCAATGATTCTATTTCAACAATGATATCCTTATTGGTTTCTTTGTGATCAATGATTCTATTTCAACAATGATATCTTTATTGGTCACTTTTTAATCAATGGTTCTTTTCCAACAATGATACCTTTATTGGTTTCTTTGTGATCACTGGTTATATTCCAAAAGTGTTATCTATATCACTCTCTAGGTGATGAATGATTCCATTTCAACAGTGATATATTTCCAGTGACTGCTTGCGTGCTAAAGAATAATTATTTATGATGAGTGGTCCTATTCCAGCAATGTTTTCTTTACTGTCTCTTTGTAATAGCTGATTCTAGTTCAAATAATGTATATCTTTAGGTTTATTTGTGATAAATGATCAGTTTATCCACCTGGATACTAGTCTCCTTCTCTCTTCACCCATCGAACGTTTAACCTAAAGTAATCTATCATTACAATATGAAATCTACTTACACACAAGCTTCTCGTCCAAACTTCCACGTGACGTCACAGAAAGTGCCCGGATAAACTCTTCGAATTCGATACTTCCATCCTGTCCAGAGAAACACCACTTTTGTTATCTAATTAGATATATTTGAATAACTTGTGTATGATGCTGCGTGAACAAAGGCGAGGAAGATTAGGTTCGTAAATACTAATCCTTAAACTAATTTATGAAACAATTACACAGTGTTATATGTAAATCTCTCTCTCTTTTACAAGTTGAGCTATTGTATAACTTGAATATCATTATCATTTTGAAAACAAATGGTTAAAATGTGAAATAGCGTTTAATGAAGCGTCATTGTTTAGGCAAGTTTTGAAGCGCCCTCTATTTGCGAATATAGAAATTCACATTGCAAAAAGATAATATAAATATTTTCAAAATTCTGTTCAGCATGTTTTGTGAATCTTTCGCACAGAGTTAAGTCAAATTGTTTTCCATTCAATGTTTTTATATTTTTATGTTATTCATTTTTTGTTTTGCAATTACATTAGTAATTATACCATCGTTTTTATAAAGATAGACAATGGTATTATTTTTACAGAATAAAACCGCATTGATAGCGGATGGATACATTAAACTCATGATATTATGATGTTTGATAATTATTTTTACGAACAGATGACGCTACTAAACTGAAATAAAAATTTACTCATATTTGACAATGGGTTTATGAAAAGGTAATGATAATAACCGTACTCTTCATTTCTAAACGAATAAGGCAAAATAGACTGTTGAATCTGCCTGTGAATGGAATAACTTGTGATGAATATCCGTCCGTTGAAAATGACGGCCTTTTACTGAACTGGCTGTTTAATCGGCTTTCTTTCTTCCCCAATTTACTTCTTTAGGCATTTAGTGAACACTCTTTGTGACCTACGCATAAAAAAGACACTTCTCGAAAGACGAAAGCTCAAATATAAAGATATGAACCATAAGTTCTCAAACGGTTTCTTATTAAACAGAGTTAAGTAATGACGAAAATGTTTGCCATTGATTTCGCACAGAAACCCTGTGCGCATGTACTAGAATACCTGAGCTAGCGCTGAAATTGTGGAATAAAATTGGTTAGATTTGTAGGTTCTGAAATTATTTCTAAATATGGTATATTTCTCTCTGTATTGCGTCATAATATATATATATTTATAGAATAATCATTTCCCTTACCTTGTTTTCATCAAAAACTCCAAAAACTAAAGACGCGAACTTAGCGGGATCACCTTGAGGGAAAAACTGTTTGTAGATGCGTTGAAAACCCTGTCATAAATTAAAACATGTGGGAAAAATAGGCTTATTAAAAAAAGTTATGAATTAAAATGAGTGAAAAAATAGGCTTACCAAAAATATTTTCATAAATTAAAACAGATAAGGAAGTAGCCTTACCAAAATAGTCGTGTGAAAACAGACTAACCAAAAAAGTCACAAATTAAAACATGTTCAAAAAGGCTTAACAAAAATGTTATGAATTAAAACATGTGAAAAACTAGGCTTAACAAAAAACACTGTCATTAATTAAAACGTGTGAAAAACCTAAAAGAGTCATGAATTAAAGCAGTTATAAAAACAGATTTATCATATAAGGCATTAATTAAAACAAAAAGTAGTTTCCAAAAAACCTTGTTAAGAACTTAAAAAGTTAAGAGTAGGTGACAATTCTGGACTATAACTTACTTACCTATTCCATAAGGTGTCCATTGAGAAAAACTGGAAAATCAAGCTACCTGTTCTATAAGGTGCCCATAGAGACAGTTCTGGAAAAGTTGTCTTTATTATCAACTTACCTGTTCATAAAATCTCAAATGGGGCAGTTCTGGACAATCAACTTACTTGTACTATAAAGTGCCTATAGAGACAACTCTGGAGAAATTGCATGGATCATTAACTTATTTGTTCTGTAAGGGGTCCATTGGGACAACTCTAGAAGATCAATCTATTTGTTCCGTAAGGTGCCTATAGAGAAAGTACTGAAGACGTTGTCTGTACTGTCAACTTACTTTTCCCTAAAATGTTCATTGGGATAGTCCTGTACTAGCAACCTACCTATTCAACAAGATGGCCATAGGGGCAGTTCTGGAGAATTGGTTTGGCTTATCAACTTATCTGTTCCGTAAGGTGCCCATAGAGACAATCCTTGAGATTTGGTCTGGCTTATCAACTTACCTGTTCTGTAAGGTGTCCATAGAGATAATCCTGAGAAAATGGTCTGGCTTATCAACTTACCTGTTCTGTAAGGTGTCCATTGGGACAATCCTGGAGAATTGGTTTGGCTTATCAACTTACCTGTTTTGTAAGGTGTCCATAGAGATAATCCTGGGAAAATGGTCTGGCTTATCAACTTACCTGTTCTGTAAAGTGTCCATAGAGATAATCCTGGGAAAAATGGTCTGGCTTATCAACTTACCTGTTCTGTAAGGTGTCCATTGGGACAATCCTGGAGAATTGGTCTGGCTTATCAACTTACCTGTTCTGTAAGGTGTCCATTGGGACAATCCTTGAGAAATCCTTTATACCTGAAAAATTGCGTTACAAAAATCGCACATGAACTTGAAAACAAGCATTTTATTTGTAAGTAAAACATTTAAATTATTTTTACATTCGATCACTGCATCATTTTTAAATCAACGCTAAAAATTAAACTGATTTTGATACAGTTTCCGAAATGGTTTTTAAAGTTGACCTCTTGCGACGAGAATTGATTACTATTTTCAATGTAAACTTGACCATAAACTTAGACATTTCAGTACAAACAATGACCTGGGATATTTGAATAAAATCAATAACAAAGTAAATAAGATGAGCTGTAAGAAATGTTTTAGTAAAGGATACAATGGATGAACTTCAAGATGAAATTGATTAGATTTGAATCACCATCTTCATGATCCAAGACAACAACAGATTTTGCTTTTGATGAAGAAGAAGAAGCTTTCATGTTTTCACTTTGAGTATTCTTTAATTACTTGGAAATTGTCTCTGCTGTCTCTCTTCATTGATAACTTACTTTCAACGATAACATCATGTTCACATATGCATCTACTGCATTCATTTTTCTACGCTTTAAAACAGGAAACATCACAGAAAAATACAAACTGCAGAGTTTTGGCCAGAAAATGAAAAATGTTGGTCACAGGAGGAGCAAAAAATTTTGAATAATTGAAAAAAAATAATTGATGTTTCAAATCCACATAATGGAAGCCGTTTGTGGGGCGAACTTAGAGTTAAAAAAACATGGCTTCAAATGCATAGAACAATGTTTGTTAGCCCTAGGTGTTATTCTAGTTACTCAACAGTATACTGTTACGACAGCGGTAGTCACGTGACGCTGGTAACACGTCATGATATTCTAGAAGATTCACGAAGAAACGAGATGTACGCTTTTTGTATATATAAGACCAGTAAGAAGTGACGGGAACAAAGTAGTTGAATTGCAGACAGAGATAGAGACGGACAATTGAGTCAAGCGCGTGAATCGTTCAAATACACTTAATTTCCACAGTCACGCTATAACTTAAACAAACGCTATAATTCACAAGCAAAGTTGTATTGAGAAAGAATAAACTAATTTTATTCAAGAAAAGTCTTGTATCGCTAAAGTTTCTTTGGAAAGAATTTTTACGGAAAATTAACTAACGACCAGAGACGTACCAATATACATACATATATATATATATATCTTGTTAGAATCTTATATATGTAGATGGATAATCAATCCATACAGTTTACAAGTCATATGCTGTTCATGCTCGGCAAGCTATGGTGGACAAAAAATGATTAAGATTTACCTTTAGATATAGAATTCCTTCTTCATATGTCAGCAGCCAGTAAGGCTCAATTGAACTGTTTCGAAATTTGTTCTAATCACTTATACAACGTTGTAAATAAAAAGTATACATGTTAATTATGAAGTGGAATAAGGGAGACTTATACGTTGTAAGAGCGTCAGTGGTTGTTAATGAGATTATAAATCTATACAACCAGTGAAAACAGATTGAAACAGGTATGAGTTCCAGTGGCGTAGCAAGACGGGGCAAGGGGGCAGTCGCTCCCGGGCGCAGGTTTGAAGGGGCGCAAAATTTCCTCTGGCCTATAATGCCTATTATTTAATAATTATGCCCTTCCCTAGGATATAGCGCAACTGCCCTACGTTAAGTAAGTACGACACAGTGTTGCGTTATTTGTGTGTATTACGCTTGCAGTTTTAACTTTTAAAAGCCGACCACTGAAATACAGTGAGACCGAATTGACGTACAGAAGTAAATTACACTATTCCATCATTCATCTGTAGATAAAATACAAGTCCTAGAGTACAACGTACAAGTAAGTGTATGTTCAACAAAAAGAAAATACGAGATTGATGTAACATATTAACTGGTGTGCAAGATTGTCAATATATGCAACAGGCAAGATCTAGATCTAGTAAACATTATAGGGCTAATGTGGTGCTTTGTAATTGTATTGGCTGATTGTAAATCATGTCTTATACCATCTAATTGTTAAAGTTGGAGGACATGAATTTCAACATAAAGAAGGTCCATTTGATGCCAAAGATGGGCGTTCTATGACTGCATTTTGGTTCAAACGATGTCTTCTGAATGGACAAGAAGTCAATCGTTCCTAGTTGGTGTATTCACCTCTACATAAAACAGCATACTGCTTTTGTTGTCTTCTTTTTTCATCTACATGTATGACATCCTATAGTCGGTCTGCTTTCGAAACACAGGGTGGATTCTCTAAGTGGAAAAAAATTGAAAAGTTAAATGCCCATGAAAGTAGTGACAGTTATCATGAGTCATTTGCTGCTTGGAAAGAAACTGAGCGCCGAATTCGTCTTCAAAGTGGCATTGATGAAGAGCTGCAAAAGCAAATTCAGCAAGAAAAATTAAATGGAGAGATGTACT